TACAAGGATTACATTTTTTCTGGTAGATTAAACTTTGATACTAAAATTTCATGTTTAAGTTCATATGTTTTTGTAATTATTACTTTGTTAGGGTTGGGAGTATGGTAGTACCAGACTTATGTTCAGTTTTTATCGTAGTTTTACATCAGATGTCAGTTTGCGGAAACAAATTTGTCTAAAAAATTAAAGAATACAGGAAGTAGTGCAGAGTTCTAAAATGGAATACCTCTACCTATGTCATCAGCAGGGAAAATAACCCTAAGAAATATTTACACACAAGGATTACTTTTTTTTTTCTGGAAAATGAAACTTTGATAATAAAATTTCACATTTAATTTTATATAACAGTTTAACATGTTTTTCATTTGGTGGGATAGTAACTGTGGTATGTTTGATCATAGATTTACATCAGGTTAATGTCAGTTTGTGCAAACAAATTTGCCAAAAAAATTACAAAAATACAAGAAGTACAGGTGAGTTCTAAAATGGAACACCTCTACCTAGTCTGATCCTTCTGTCCCTGTGGGGGAAAATGCAAAGGTCTTAAAAACATCTTTCAGTGCAGAGTGTGCAATTTTGTTGTTTCCACGTGAACGCTTGTATGCAAAGAGACCAAACTGAGCAAAAAACTAACAAAAAAAGTTGAAGTATCTTGCCTGAAAGGTGCACTGTGTAACTTTTTAGTTGGGGGTCCTTGGAGACGTTATTGCTCTGCCTGGAATGTTCCACAGTGTGACATTAAACAGCTCTGCTTTACATTTATTCAATTACAGTTGGGTTTCTGTCTTAAAAATACCTAGAAAAACAAACAGTCTGACTGTGAGTGAGGTCGCCTCTCCACAGATCTGAGTTGTAACATGATGTGTTTTCAGTGTTTCAGTGGAAGGTTACTTTTAAAATGTATTCCCCTACAGATTACAGATTACATACCCCAAAATGTAGTTTGTAACGTAATCCATTAAATTACTTAAACTGAGTAATGTAATCTGAATACTTTGGATTACTTGATATTGTCATACTTTTTAAAACTACATGAATGTACCAACCACATCCTGAAAATTCTTGTTTGTTTTCTTCAAATTGTCTGTTGAGCCCAAGTCTCCATGAACAGGTTTTACTGTAGAGAAACAAAGATCAGGATCTGAACATAAGAAGTTTAGTTTTGTCTGCTGAAAGACAATAAAAAGATCAGTCTTCCCTTAAACATATTAAAAATATTATTGATAAACAAATGATTTTATATGAGATCACTGCTGCCTGAAATTATGTCCAGCTACTGTTAAGTGTCATAATGTTTAGACCTGGTTTAGTCCTAGTTTAGTCCTGGTTTAGTCCTGGTTTTAGTCCTGGTTTAGACCTGGTTTAGATCTGGTTTAGTCCTGGTTTTAGTCTTGGTTTTAGTCCTGGTTTAGTCCTGGTTTTAGTCTTGGTTTTAGTCCTGGTTTAGACCTGGTTTAGATCTGGTTTAGTCCTGGTTTTAGTCCTAGTTTTGTCCTGGTTTAGATCTGGTTTAGACCTGGTTTAGTCCTGGTTTTAGTCCTGGTTTAGTCTAGGTTTTAGTTCTAGTTTAGTCCTGGTTTAGTCCTGGTTTTAGTCCTGGTTTAGTCCTGGTTTAGATCTTGTTTAGACCTGATTTAGTCCTGGTTTTAGTCCTAGTTTAGTCCTGGTTTAGTCCTGGCTTTAGTCCTAGTTTAGTCCTGGTTTAGTCCTGGTTTAGATCTGGTTTAGTCCTGGTTTAGTCCTAGTTTAGTCCTGGTTTAGATCTAGTTTAGACCTGATTTAGTCCTGGTTTAAGTCCTAGTTTAGTCCTGGTTTAGATCTGGTTTAGTCCTGGTTTTAGTCCTAGTTTAGTCCTGGTTTAGATCTTGTTTAGTCCTGGTTTTAGTCCTAGTTTAGTCCTGGTTTAGATCTAGTTTAGACCTGATTTAGTCCTGGTTTAAGTCCTAGTTTAGTCCTGGTTTAGTCCTGGTTTAGTCCTGGTTTTAGTCCTAGTTTAGACCTGGTTTAGATCTGATTTAGTCCTGGCTTTAGTCCTAGTTTAGTCCTGGTTTAGTCCTGGTTTAGATCTGGTTTAGTCCTGGTTTTAGTCCTAGTTTAGTCCTGGTTTAGATCTAGTTTAGACCTGATTTAGTCCTGGTTTAAGTCCTAGTTTAGTCCTGGTTTAGTCCTGGTTTTAGTCCTAGTTTAGACCTGGTTTAGATCTGGTTTAGTCCTGGCTTTAGTCCTAGTTTAGTCCTGGTTTAGTCCTGGTTTAGATCTGGTTTAGTCCTGGTTTTAGTCCTAGTTTAGCTCTGGTTGAGACCTGATTTAGCTCAAAATGTGAAAACAGAATAAACACAAAGTAACTGTAATCCAATTACCAATCATTCAAACAGTAACTGCAACTGAATACAGTTACTCATAATTTGTACTCTGATTACGTAACGCCGGTACATGTAATCTGTTACTCCCCAACACTGTCTGTTTTGGTCTCCATGAAGACAGAAAGGTTTAATGCCACACTGTGAAACATTCCAGACAAAGCAAGAACATGTCCATGGAGAAAAACATTTGACGGACCCTCCACCAGAAAAGTTACACAACACATCTTTGAAATTTTTTGTAAAATCTTGTAATTATGTTGAAATTTGACATCTAAACAAAAGCTACAATTTCTGTTTTTCAGTTTTTCAGCTGGCAACCGTAGCCCGCTCGTCCGTGATCCAAGACATGGGGGTTGCTTCGGCGAGGGTTGGGACCAGCGTGACTCTGAAGTGTTACTACAACAACACGCAGGTGGCCAGCCATTACTCGTGGTACAGGCAGACGCTGGGAGGTCGCCCCGTGGTCCTGTCCACCATTTACAAGTTCGACACCCCGTCCAAGATGCTGGTGTGGCTGGAGAAGCACCCGCGATTCGCCGTGCAGAGGCAGGAGGGACAGAACCATCTCCACATCTCCAACGTCCAGCCTGAAGACATGGCTCTGTACTTCTGCGGCAGCTCCCACAACAACATCGTGGAGTTTGGACAAGGGATTTTTCTCAATGTCCAAGGTAAGTCTCGAAGTGAATGATTCTTTTTTTTAGTTTTGTTGGTTTGTGGTGAGGATAGGTGGCTATAGAATCCAGTTACATTTACTCAAGTAACAGTACAGTACATACCGTAAATTCTGGACTATAAGCCAGTGATGGTGAGATGAAGCTCCATGAAGCACTGAAGCGTTCTATCCATTTGTTCGACTCTTGAGCCAATGCTTCAAGGTGATTGTGACGGGGTTCTATTCCGGGTTGATGACGATGGTGTAGTCAGAAGGATGTTTTGATGGTTTAATTAGTGACAATGTTCCCGCGCTATATACAGAACAGTGAAACAACAAAGAAAAAGTATTTACAATATGTACATACACCGGCAGAAATATGCTTGATAATCTGTCGCATGTTACCTTCCATGTGCAGGTCCAGGTCTAAACTGACTGAGGGAGGGAGAGTATATATATGTGTGTTTAAGTTACATACTCTGACCCGGCTTCACCACAGCGGTCCGGTCCTTCTTGGTAAAATATTAAATGATAATCTCATGTCAGGGCAAGAATCTAGACATTCTGATGGATGGAAGACTGGTTTTATAAAGAACTCAATCAGATGTGAGAAAATGTTAGTAAAAATGGCATTTTTCTCACAAATGAAAAAAAGGTAAAATCTTCTAGCAACAAAGAGCTGTGGCACGATCGATGACTGAGCCAGTATGACATGACGGAAAAAGAGAATAAAACAAGATGATTTTTCCAGTGAAGAGATGAATGCCATAGAGGTTTATGTTTTATTATTTTAATATATAAGTACTGTATATATTAGTGATGGGCATTCGATGAAATTTTCTTCATCGATCGTCGGAAGAATTAACGATCGATTATCGATGAATCATTAACGTTTTTATATTAAAATGATCATCATTATTATTACTATCTGCACTACTAATCTGCATAAATAAATTCAACTTTACGACATATAAACCGTAACGACTCTAGAGCCACATCAGCCCGTTTGACATTATAACGTGTTTAATTCAGTTTTGCGCAACTCTCACAGAAACTAAACTTAAAACCACATCGTTAATTCGTATAAACTAAGCGAAGATAAAACTACAGCTCTTGTGCACTGATGCGGTCAATTTCTGTCGGATTAAAAGACATGACTCAGGTGAATACAGGTTAGTGTGACCGTATTTACGTTTGTCAAAACCAGGACACCGTACGGGGGGAGGGAGTTGGAGACTCGTCATCGGCATTGTGCGACTCTCACCTGGTAAAACTTTTTCCCACTGGACACAGAAACATATGTGCTGCTTTATACACTGTGCACATGGACTCACACTTGTCCCGAACACAACGGAAAGCGTGGAATTTCTTGTACAAATCATCGTTAAATATGTATTTGTGCTTCGGTACGTTGCAGACTGACTGACTTTGTGTCTCATTCCTTCTGAGTGCAGAGACACATGTACAGACCTGTTTGGTCACGCTACACACAGCAACCTACATTCGGTTTGTTGATTAAAATGAACGTAATCGATGAAATTCTTAATGATCAATTATCGATTAATCGACTAATCATGCCCATCCCTAGAATATATACATGACTCGTGTTTGGCTTTTGGCTGGAGTGGGCGGGACAGGATGCTGAAAGAACTGTCACTCAAGTATTGCAGTTTCATTCAGCGTGATGTTGAACTTTACGTTCAGCTTTGTGAGCCATGCCCAAAGAAGCAGGAAGGACTCAAGAAGGGGACTGTGGTAAAACCCATGGCATTCTCTGACTTTAATTCAGGGAGATTCAAGTGACTTCCCATCACTTTCAGATGAAGAGTGTAGATTCATGATGGTGAACCAACACCATCTGACAAGTCTGTTGTTCTAAGGCCCCTGAAAACAAAGAGAGCCAAAGAGGTTGCTCACATTCTGCAGTCGGACAATAGCCGTGAGTTTGCCAACACAGTTATCAGCAGCTTTAAAGACTACTGGTCCACTTTAAAGATGGATGCTGGATGAAAAAATTGGCCAGGGACTGCACTTCATTCAGGTTATATAAAACAGGGTATATCACTGGCATCAAAAGAACACTCTGTGAAGCTCTGCAAAGCCAAAGTTGGTCTTGCCACACCTTCCCTGCCCCAGGAGGTCTTACAGGGAAAACAGACAGAAGAGCAACTTAAAAATACTGTGATGTTTCCGTGGAGCATAAAGTCATGTGAGGTGGGATTTAGCCAGAGAAGCTATTTAATTATAATAGTCACAAAAGGAATAGGAAGGTCACTTCACAAAACAAGAAACTCAATCACAGTGGCAAATGTGCTTCCCAATATAACAGCAGATATAAATGTAATAAGATGTGGGAGTGGCATAACTTGTAAAGTACCACAGAGGACCACAGCTATAGAGCAAGAGTGTCAAACTCATTTTGGTCTGGGGTTCGTATCCAACTTACTTTGATCCCAAAGGGGCTGGATCAGAAAACTCATGACATATAAACCCCCCAAATAACAATAAGTTCAAATATTTGTGCAGAGAAACACAAATCTATTACAGAAATCTTTATTAATTGATGAACTCTTTCTTTTACAAAATATTATAATATTATGAACAACCTGAAACTTTAAGAAAAATGCAATTTCAACACAAAGTTTTAACATGAACTTGTATGCAAACAGGAATAAGTCAGTTTTTCTTGGAAAATCCTGCACTCGGCTCCACTTTTCTCATTTGTGACATTTTTCTGATGAGGGTGTCACGGTCAACAGTCAAAATGATCGTCCTTTAAGAGCGTTTGGAAAGAGACAAGTCCAGACGCTACGTACAGAGACGCTGGAGACGCTGCTATGATAAACACCACAGAAAATTTACAAGATTTTAATAGAAAATATAATACATATATTTTAGTAGTAAAATCAGCTGAGGGCCAGATTAAAGGTCTTGGAGGACTGGATCCGGCCCCCGGGCCATGTGTTTGACACCCCTGGTCTAGACTCAAAAGTGAAAGATGTAACTTTTCTGTTTTCATAGAGATCGGTGTCATATGTAAGAAGACAAACAGCACCCTCCTCCAGAAAACTTACGTAGCAGACTTTTTGAATAACTAAATCCTCTTCATTCTTTTGTTTTTTAGGTCCCACAGAGCCCATCTCCAAACACGTGACCCAGGAGCCTGCATTAGCCTCGGCCGTCGCTGGATCTTCTGTAACGCTGAACTGTTCCGTGAGGGCGGGAGCGTGCGCAGAGGACCACAGCGTCTACTGGCTCAAACAGGGCTCCGGACTGGGCCTCCTCCACACCCACGGGCCCCGCTGTAAACCGCAGGGCCCCCAGTCTGGAGCTCAGAGCTGCACGTACCACCTGCAGAAGCCCGGCGTGAGCAGGGCGGACGCGGGCAAGTACTACTGCGCTGTGGCCTCCTGCGGGGAAGTCCTGTTTGGGAATGGGACGGTTCTACAGGTCAGCGGAGAAGACGGAGACCTGAAAGTCCACATCGTAGTCCTGATGTGGTTGTCCATAGCCAGGATGGGGGTGCTGCTGCTGATGGTCACTGTGTGTCTGTTCATGTACTGCATCAGGAGTAGACAAACAGGGATGTAACAATAACCGAAATATCGTGATATCGTATCGCCACAAGTCTCACAATAATACCGTGGGCTGTCACAATATACTGAATTACAAAATCCTTTACTTAAATTCATGGTTTTATAGAACTAACAGCTTATAAACATCGGGAACTACATTTCCCATGATTCATTTCAGCGCAGACAACATGAAGAAATATGTTTTTACTTGAATTCTTAGGATTGTGACGGAAATAATTCACACCAAAATCTTGTCAGAGTATTTTAAAAGCAAAAAAATGTATGTCAGCATGTTATATCGCAATGACTATCATATCGTTAGATGCATATCGTGATAGTATCGTACTGAGAGATTTGGTATATCGTTACATCTGTACAGATTAAAAAAAAAAAAAAAAGAAAGAACAAGAGACCCTGAAATATCTTTGGTGAAAGTCTCCCAAACCCACAATTTAAAGTGAACCTACTACGTAAAAATCTCTTATGAGCTTTCAGAAAAATTGGTTCTATACCAATATCTTATACACATCGGGAACTACATATCCCATGATTCATTTCAATGCAGACGACATGAAGAAATATGTTTTTATTTGAATTCTTGGGATTGTGACAGTAATAACTCACATCAAAATCTTGTCAGGGTATTTTAAAAGCAAAAAAGTTTATATCAGCATATTATATCACAATGAATATGGTATCGTGAGATGCATATCGTGATAATATCGTACTGAGAGATTTGGATATCGTTACATCCCTACAGATAAAAAAATAAATAAAAAAAGAACAAGACACCCTGAAATATCTTTGGTAAACTTCTCACAAACCAACAATTTAAAGTGAACCTACTGCGTAAAAATCTCATATATATATATACTCTATACCAATACTGATACTTATATTATCTTTTGTTAATACTAGAATAAGGACTTATTTTGAATGAACACAAATTTAAATATTATACAAATTTCTAGGCCAACATTTGCCAGTAAATAGTCTTGTTACATCCAATTAAAGGCCCAGTCAGGATATTGGCTGAACCAGTATCATGGAACCGATGGAAGCAGCTCATTTTCCTGATCAGCATCAACATTCAGTGCCAGTGTTGGTATTGGTGCATTCCTACTGTAGATCTTACATTTGTTAAATAACAGAATTCTATTCTTACTATGAGTCATACGAATATAATGAGTCACTTGACCTGATCGCAGCTGCTGGTCTCCATGTAGATAGATAAGGTTCTGTGCTATTATGTGGTAGGCCTGTAATGATAATCAATAAATCAGTTAATCGTACGATAACTTTTAACAAACTTGATAACTTTTCCGGCCGCGATAAATTCTATTTGCATGTTTGTTTGTTTTCCTCGCGCTGTCTCGCTCTCAAAGAGACTGGATGTAAGAAGCTTCTATCTCTCTCTGACTTCTCTCGTTTAACAAGAGTAATGACGCTTGAACCAACGTGCTCTGTGTTTATCAGCACAGTGGATGCGCACGTAGCCTAAGTACAGAAAACGCTGCTGTCAGTGCAGTTAACATGAAGCTGCAACACAGGCGCCGCTGTCAGAACCAAAACAGTTCATCGCCGAGTGCCAAAACAAATCACGACGTCGAATGAACTCGAGTGAGAGGGACACGTCTTAACAGTCACATGCGTCAAATGTTGCGAGTGCGCAAACGACGAGAAGAAATGTCTCAAACCCCAAAAGCCAATAAACCCAAACCAAAAGTGACAGAACTAGCCCCACCCCCGGGAGAGCCAGGCATCCACTGAAATCCCACAAGACACTGACACGACACCAGACAGAACAGAGGCTCCATCATAGAGAAACAGGATCATGTGTCGCTGGTTAATACGAACATTTAAATGACCAAAATGCCAAGGCCACAGCAGCAGCTACAGAGAGAGTGTCCAATGTAAGTCAACGACTGAAATCATTTTTAAGGGCAGTTTTGTTACAGAGACTTAATAATCCATTTTATTTATTGTTTTGGTTGTATTTGGTTCAACAGTGGTTTATTCAAGTGCATTTTTGTTAACAAGTCCTTACTGTGAGCCAGACACATTAGGTTTGTCCTCTGTTAACAAGTCTGTTTTATTTAGGTCTATTGTTTTTGTTTGTCTTACAGTTTCTGTGTTAAATGTTCTTTAGAAAGTATGCTTTATTGATCTTTGAAAGGGTGTATTTGCATTTTTATTCCATGGTCATTATAATAGTTAAAAATGGTCTCAAAATGTCAATATTATCATTTATCGCAATAAATTCTCAGTCAATTAATCATCCAGCAAAATCTGTTATCGTTACAGGCCTAATATGTGGAACAAACAAAAACACCTCGATGGAGAAAAGTGAGTGTCAGATTCTCTAGAGCAGAAGTCTCCAACCTGTAGGTCAGGAGCTTCCAGTAGCTTCTTCACCCCCTTCCAAATAACTCACCAATGGATTTCTGAATTCTGTGTATTGTGCTGAATAAGTCAAATTTGATGAATTACCATTGTAAAAGTATCATTTTGATGTCTAACTGTGCACTGATAAATGGATAATGGTTTATGTTTCATAGACATTTAACTGCTCCACATCTAAGGCTGCGTTCACACTGCGGCCTGAAGTGACCCAAATCTGATTTTTTGGCCCCTATGTGACCTGTATCTGATCTTTTAATGTCAGTCTGAACGACACAGATCAGATTTTTTCAAATGCGACCCAGGACACTTTGATATGTGCTCCTGAAACCGATACATATCTGATCTTTTGACATGTGACTTCAAAGCGCATTCATCCACCTACACGTTATCAACAAGACACAAACGTCACTATTCTGAGCTGAAGTAGGCGAAAATTGTTAATGAACTCCGTGTCACTGAAGCGAAGCACATCACCACTCACCACTCTTGGCTACGTCTTCACATCCACACGTTCCTTTCAACAGACTGTCCCACAAAACACCACGACCAAAAACCTCGTCCTTCTCCTTCTCAATCTCCTCCTTAAAACAAGTAAGTTGTTCGTGTTCTGGCTCTGGTACGAGAGGAACTTTAAAATCTCCAGGTGCGCAATGCTGCGTCCATGTTTGGACAACTTCCGTAAACACAGAGTAGTCAACTGTGGTTGATGTCGTCGTGTCTCCAGTGCACATGTGGGACACTTTCGGGCTGTTTAATGTTCACACTGGAGTCACATACAAGTCACATTTAATTGGAAACGTGAACAACCTCACAAAAACATCTGATTTCACAAAAAAATCGGAATTGAGCATTAAGCACTGCAGTCTGAACGTAGCCTAAGTCTTGCCTTGGCTCTTGGATTCACTCAGTGTCTTTGCGACTGCTTCAATTAGAAACTCTGTGGCATTTCTGATTTGTAAAGGAGCTGACTGGAGGCAAAAGTTTGGAGACCCCTGCTCTAGAGAATAACTCTTTTAGTTTGAGCAATTCATGCAATTCATTTGTAAATAATTCTCATGCTTGCTGTGGTTGCTTTACTGCACAAAATTATAAATTCTTTGTTACAGTAAATTTAAATTACAATGTCATGCTTATAGTTATATTTTTTTTACTTATTACATCAAAGCTAAGAAAGGAAAGCTCCAAGGAAAGAACACAATTACAGCTTTTTACAGCTTTTATCCAACAATATTTCATCATTATTTTGCAAAGAAAATGTTAAAATCATTAAAAACTGTTAAATTTCCTTTTATATATAACTTGTCTTCAGTGTTGGGATTACAGATTACATACCCCAAAATGTAGTTTGTAACGTAATCCATTAAATTACTTAAAGTGAGTAATGTAATCTGAATACTTTGGATTACTTGATTTGCTGTAGAGAAGCAAAGACGAGGATATCGTAACATAAGATGTTTTATCTGCTCAAAGAAAATAAAAAGCCCAGATTTTACTGAACCAAATTAAAAATATTATTGATAGAATAGGAGGAGACACGTCCACGCAGCATAGTCCTGTTAAATCCTGTTTTAGACCTGGTTTAGTCCTGGTTTAGTCTTGGTTTAGACCTAGTTTTAGACCTGGTTTAGACCTGGTTTTACTCCTGGTTTAGTCCTGGTTTAGTCTTGGTTTAGACCTGGATTTAGACTTAGTTTAGACCTGGATTTAGACCTGGTTTAGACCTGGTTTGGACCTGGTTTAGACCTGGTTTTAGTCCTGGTTTAGTCCTGGTTTAGTCTTGGTTTAGACATAGTTTAGACCTGATTTTAGTCCTGGTTTAGTCTTGGTTTAGACCTAGTTTAAACCTGGTTTTAGACCTGGTTTAGACCTAGTTTAGATCTGGTTTAGACCTGGTTTAGACCTGGTTTGGACCTGGTTTGGACCTGATTTAGTTTATGGCAATGAGTGGAATTACAGAGAGAGAGAAAAAAAAAAGGGATATAGCCCGAAATGTGAAAATAGGAAAATAACGCCGTGTAATGCATTTACTTCAACAAAGTAACTGTAATCCAATTTCCACTCATTAAAACAGTAATTGTAACTGAATACAGTTACTCATAATTTGTACTCTGATTACTTAACTGTACATGTAATCTGTTACTCCCCAACACAGCTTGTCTTTGGTTCTACAGTTCAGTCTCGTTGGTTCCTCACTTGAGAGTAAACCACTGCATCCTGTCTTGGCAGTACTGTGTTTGACCTGTGGGAGGCGGACCAGGACAACACATTCAGCCCTGTATAAATAACCTCTCCTTCAACCTGCAAAACACAATGCAAACCCTCACTGAATACATACTTAGAGCTCATTAATATACAATCAAAGGAAAAAGAACACAGTTACCTGTTCACCATTCGAACCACTGGATCCAGGGCTGGAGTCTTCTAGAACAGACAGAATGGAAATGGATTTTGATGTTACAGTGAGTACATTACATGGTCAGATAAAGTCAGATAACTAGAGCAAAGCAACGATAGAACAACTAGCATGCTAACACACACTTCCTCATTATCAGACAATAAAACACTTTATAATTAGATGCAAATATCCAGCAGTTGACCTTTGACCTCTAGAGCTGCTTATACAAAATATCTGCAATGGAACAAGACACGTTTTGCTCAAATACATGGAAATAAATCAGGTCCAGGGTTTGTAAATTGTGAATAGCAGATTTTTAGAGTAACTGTTTGATTTGTTATGTTGTGTTTTTTTATTGATTGTAGTTTTTCTCATTCTGTAGTCATCTTCTACACCACGTTTCACACCACAGGCTGTTAAATAAAGTTGACCTTGACTTATTTGAAGACAAAATCCAGTGCAATTTAAAATAACTCTTTCAGTCTTTAACATTTTCTTTGTAATTTTTTGTCTATTGGCACAGGTGTGAACGGGCTATTTCAGATTTCTGCATCTTTTAAATGATTTAAACGACATGTACATCTTAAAATTTGAGCCCAGTAACCAGAAGGACCATATTATTAAAAATAAACCATTTTAATAATAAACCATTTTGAGGACTAATGCAACAGTCAGACATCAGATTACTCATATGGAACTATAATCTGATCCCGAAATCAGCAGAAAGCACAGAATGATTTGATGTTTTTGTGTGCATTTAAATACAGCTGATGTAACATAAACAACATTCTCTTGTGTTTGTGATGTAAATGTGGTCAGTACCTGTATGTTGATTCTTCCTGTAGCTGTAAACCAGCCACACCAGGACGACCACAGTCACACAGAAAACAACGTTCAGCACAGTCAAGATGATGACAGTCGAGCGAAGGCCAAACTCAGAGACATCACTGCCTACAAACACAAAACAAGAAGTTACACTTTATAACTACGTTGTAATAACTAACATAAATTTTAATTATGTGTTAACACATTAATTATTTATCACAGAAAATTATTTTTCTCCCCTTAACACAGTTTTTATTATTCATTTTTAAATTGTAAACGCCTGTTGCTCACTGTCTTTTATTTTGAAAAAGTCCATTGTGAGCGAGTCTAGAATGTTCCTGCTGCAGCGTCACAGAAAACAGAGAGAAAGAAAGTGGGACAAACAAACATAGAGAAGGGTGAGGAACTTTTACATGGCCATTTTCATTTTAAAGTTCTTCAGACGGTGCAGTCGACACAGACAAAGTCATCTGTAACACTACAACACTGAAGTGTCTCATCACTGGAGTTTCACGACTCTGAAATATCAACTAAACCAACAGACTCTGCTGATGCAAATCATTCAGTGAAACAAGAGGAGCGAGGCTTCAGTTGACCACGTCGCTCCTCACATGCACAGTACCACCAATTGGTCGATCGCACTTCATCGTCCTCCGCGAGAAACCGGTGACGGTGATCGCGTTCTTAATAATAACAACCCTGTCTGCTTTAGCAACTTGCTTTGTTCAGAAATTCTAGGATTTGGCAAACTGCACTGAAATTGGTTCTTTTTTTTTGGAGTCAGATTCTCCAAAGAAAGAAGTATGAACGTGGACTTTACAGACTAGTGCCCTGCTCCTGTATGAAGAAATGCTGTTTGCACAACAGATGTGACACTTTTGTTTACATTTCCAATAAAAGTGTGATTTTGAATTCATTATTTGGTTTTGCGTATAACATGCGATTAATCACAGGAACTCATGCAATTAATGCGATTAAGATTTTTTATTTTTGCCCAGCCCTAATAATAATAATTAAACCTTAATTAGCCTATTAGCTCTAAAATCCTGCCCCTGATTTGTATTTATGCATTTTATTCATTTTCATTTGTTGGGTAAGAACTAAAAAAGAAGTTATTGACTGGGGCATTTACTTTGGTCCAATGAGGAACATTCATGGAGGAACTGTTCCACACTCTAACACACAGTTGATTCTCTGTCATTGTGCATTTTCAAGAGCGACAATACAGCAATAAAAAGGCAGAAAACGATGGGAAACGTGGGAGCAAGCACATTCATAGTGCGGTATCGAAATAGTAGAAAGGACGAAGTGGGTTTGGCTACAGTTCACATCTTCCACACCCAGTTTAAAATGGTGTGCAGGTCGTTTTTAATAAAGCAAGAAGAAAGAATCAAAGAAGACGGGTTGTACTTTAATAAAACTTTATAAGGAGACATACCTGTAAATCATTTGTTAATGTTTATTAACCATGAACTAATGATTTACTGAATGAGAGATAAGTATGTCAGTATGAGTAAATAGGTAGAAAATGATTAATAAATATTTGTAACCTGTTCGTAAAAGTTCCTAATTAAACATTTATGTTATGTTTTATTAATAATGACCCTTTTTTGTCCTGTTCATGTGTGTAAATTATTACTAAACACTTGTTAATGAGTAAGTATTTTGTAGTAAATGAGTAGTTAATGGTAAATCAAATTTACAGAGATGGGCTATGGGCATAAAATCTGCAGTCTGGATTTTTTTTTCTCACAATTTTGACACAATTGAACTGGTAATATGCTAAAAGCATTTTTGACTGCTCCAAGAAAATAACTATGATTAGTGGATTAATGAAACAAGCGTTAATGAAACAAAAGTACAAATTCCAAATGAATTTTACAAATTATTAAAAAAAAAAATGACCAAAGGTGACCAAAAGTGTGTTTAAAATGGAAATAAAGCCAAGAATGCAGAATATTTGTTCTTTATGAAATACATATTTTCTTACCGTGCACATGCATCCTGGTCCCTGTCCCCGTCTGCATGTGTCCACAGACAGTCACCACACAGAGGTAGATCCCATCTGCTGTAGATGTGATGTTGGCCAATCTCATGTTATGAACACATGAAGTTTCTTCAGTGTTTGAGTGTATGTCACACACAACCTCATTGATATTGTTCCAGGAAATCGTTTCAGAAGCAGAACCTTTAATCCAGGTGACACTGATGTGATCTTTAGAGCAGAGGCTGGTGTTAAATGAACAGCTGAGAGTCACAGAGTCTCCTGGCTGCACTCTGATATAGGCTGGACTCTGGAGCACAGACTGCATGAGCTTTGACTCTCCTTCAAACTTCAGAACAGTGCCTGATCCAAAGCTAATATTAAATGATCGGAGTATTCCACAGTAGTACGTGCCAACATCCTCCATTTTCATATTCTGTATGGTCAAAGTGGTTTCATCAGGAGAAGTTTGAACTGAATAACGATTTACAACTTTTGTCTCAACAAGTTTTATGGTGGATGTGATCAGTTGTAGACTCCTGTTGGTGTTCAGTTTGTACCACGCTCTACCGCTCCAAACACTTCTGGTTGAACATTTCATTAGCACGTCTTCTCCAAGCTTTGCAGTTTTGAAACTTTCAAGCTGCTGGACTTCATGTGGCTCAGATGCACCTGAAATACAAAACAAATGTTGTACACAAGTGTATGTAAAGATCTGGTTAGTTCTGCAGTGTTCCTCATACTTACACAGAGTCCAGAGCACAGTGATGATGACAGTGTTCAAGATCACCATTGTCACGGACCAGAGGGTTTGTTGAGTTGATGTGGGCAAAGGAAGGATATATATATATATGTGTGAGAGTGGAGCTTTCTGATTGGATGACACATATTTATAGAGTGCTGCTGATTGGGTGCACATATTCATGCATCTATAATGATGTTGTGCATGTGCTTGACAGATATGCATCAACTTAACCCAGGTAGAAACTCTAGTGCAACTTAAATTGGAACACTTGCAATGAGTTGTAGCTCCCTGCAGCACCAGCGGGTCTAATTTCCCTGTTACTGGTGTTACTGGTGTTAGTAATGGAGCTAAGCTTAGATTTTAGGAAAAAAAAAAAAAAAAAAAAGATCAGTTTCTGAGACTTCATAAACAGCAATGTTATTAAAACATTTTGTAGAATCTTAGGTTTTAAATAGTATTTTTGGACTAAACAGTTATGGATATTAGCTAAGATGTATCCGTTTAGCCTCCGTGTTGTCTCTGAAATCTTTATGGGGAAAATTTATGGAAAATTCACCTCTAGAACCAGAGCGAGCGGTCACTTTTGAGCTCCACTGCTTTTGCTGATATTTCAAACAAAGACATATTATTGTGCTTTTCTGTATGTCATTATTTTAGATTTAGTTCATTTTACACTGTGATACTGACTGCCTCATGGTAAACTTCACCATGACAAACCAGACCGAGGTGATGAGTCAGAACAAGAGCAGTTGTGTGTTCTGTGGACAAGAAAAAAAACAACACATCGACATCACGTTTGGCACAGCCAGGGCCACGTGCTAGAGCCTCAGCCCACCCACAGAAGCAACCATGAGAGGCAGATATAGACCTTTGTTTTACCTGGTCCCCGAAGGGTTAACCAGGTTTTGTATTCACCCTGTGTCTGTGTGTGTCGGTGTGTGTCGAGGTGTGTGTGTGTGTGTGTGTGTCGGTGTGTGTCTGTGTGTGTCTGCCCACCCATGATAATTCCACCATTTATGAACCGACTGTCACCAAATTTGGTACGTGGGTCAAGCCCCCGTGCCCGATACCGCAAAAAAGTTTGGTGATGATCAGAGATCATTTGAGGTCACATGGGTCAATTGAAAGGTCACGCCATTATAAAGGATAAAGGCAATTTCAGTAATTTCTGAACCATCTGCGGCCTAAAATATTCACCCAATCATCACACAAGTTGGCACACACATAATGCCTCATGGGGGACCAGGTTGCTCTTCTCTGATTGTACTTGTTTAGGCTTGTCTGAATGAGTAATGAGCTCGCACTGAGGCAGCCTCTCAGTGTGTGGGCAGCAGTCAAAGGTCTTGATGACTTGCCCTTTGGACATAACGATACCTGGACTCTTCAGTCATCTTGGGGAATGTAGAGGATGTGGTCATGTTGTGTCAAGCTCAGTAGAAATTCAAGCTACTTAAGAGTTACTTAAGAGATCTGACAGTTGAAAAGAAAGAAGGCTTTCTCTGGGCCGACCACAGCATTCTTGCAGTTTCAAAAGCAGCCATGTTGCACTGCTCATGAGAGAGGTGGAAACTTCTGTGTGGTTAGATCAGAGGTGTAAGAACGGCTTTGTGTTCATCCGTCAAAAGAGATCATACAGCAGGTGAAAGGTACAGAGACAAACAAGAGCAAGAACTCACACACTATGTTTAGATGTGGAAAAGCAAACGAAAGCTCTGACCTCCTGGGACTTCTAAAATGCATGTGCCCTAAACCTGTGATTTTTATTGGTATAGCAGAGTCATTCAGCTAACTAGCCAGAAAATATCTAACTCATTCTTTCAGGACCAGCAAAGACATAAGTTATTGTCAGTCATGAAATAAAAACACCACGATAACGCACAGCACATTAAAATGAACTAAACTGATGAGCTTGACGGCAGCAGTTACAGAGAAGAGAAGAAACTATTATTCAGTAGAAAGTGAACTGAAGCCAGAGCCGTTGGAGCCGGATTGTGACTGTGTTCACTTCCTATTCAGAATGTGGTGGCTGGCGGGATCGCTACAGTATGTCCGCTTACACAGTCTATAGCAGGGGTGCGCAATACGTCGATCCCGATCTACCAGTCGATCGCCAAGGTCGTGTGGGTAGATCGCCGTGTCTCGTCTCTGACTTGATCGCGTTTGGACTCGGTCTTGTCTCTCACTCGAGGTCTGACACTCAACAAGTGTGATTGTATTTCATTACGGCCGCTGCTGTTGGCAATAAACTTGTAGCGGGTGCAGGAGCGTGTGGGGCATCTCAGTGCAGCCTGTGCGCTCATTTGAAACCCGCGGAGACTCTACGGCACATTACAAACACACACGCTCCCTATGCACGGCTCGTCTGCGACAGCGTGTGCCCTCGTGTACCAGCGTGCATCACAGGGCAGGTTCAACTTCCTAAACATCCTACCTGTCCATCTGCCTCACGTCAGCACGCCGCCCCTCGCCTTTTCACGCTCTCGCTCCTTCCTGCGTACAGCGAACACAAGCCCCTCCCACAGTGCAGCTGATTAGAAGAGCAAGACCAAACGTGAAGTAAAAACTAGTCTAAATTTGTGTTCCAGTGTTGGCACAAAGCAGGTCTACAGCATAGAGCGGATCTACAGAACAGACCTACTGCCACATTTGGCTGAAGTTTGTTTAACAAAAGTGCACAAATGCATCTGTGTTTGTCACGATGTGCGTTTGGTTTGGTAAACGTGCAGAGGCTGGTAAATATCACTGCAAAACCAGAAAAGAATACAACTCCAGTTTGGAACTTTAAAAAACAGGTTTAAAAATCTTCCTTCACTTTTTTCACAGTTTTGTGTAAAGTGCCAGAGGAAGTTCTCTTAAAGAAGGGGTTCTCAAACTGTGGGTCAGGGTCCAAAAAAGGGGCACTGTTTCAGTGCAGTTTGTTTGGCTTTGTATTAGATAAATCATTTTGACTTGGTCATTTTGTAAGTAGCTCACATGCTGAAAAAGTGTGAGCACCCCTGGCCTATAGTCCTATTCCCATGTGATTAGTTTTACTTAGTTTTACATTTGTGAAACTGAAATGACCCCACGACGTCTGTGTTTTGGTGTACATTTTGAGAAGACATGTCAGTAACCAACCCATTTTATGAACTTTATTCTGGAAATGGCAACACCCCAAAACAAGACCATTTATGTTATAAGGTTCTTTTTTCAGACCAGTAGTTTGTTTTCATCCGTGACAGTTTACTTCCTGTAGGTGTGGTCAGGTGTTGTCACTTCCTGTGGGCGTGGTGGTCAGCTGTTGTTACTTCCTGTAGGCGTGGTCAGGTGTTGTTACTTTCTGTAGGCGTGGTCAGCTGTTGTTACTTCCTGTAGGCGTGGTCAGGTGTTCTTACTTCCTGTAGGCGTGGTCAGGTGTTGTTACATTGTCGATCCATTAACCGTGATGACGGTGCATTCCTCCTTTCACACACCTGGGACACCCTCCTCCAGAGAACGATGGGAGACGTGGTCAGTCTGAGCCACCTGCCATGTCCATCAGGCTGACCACGACCACAGGAAGTGACAACACCTGACCATGCCTACAGGAAGTAACAACACCTGACCACGCCTACAGGAAGTAAGAACACCTGACCACAACAGCTGACCACGCCTACAGAAGTAACAACAACTACCACGCCTACAGGAAGTAACAACAGCTGACCACACAGAAGTAACAACACCTGACCACGCCTACAGAAGTAACAACAACTACAGGAAGTAACAACAGCTGACCACGCCTACAGGAAGTAACAACAACTTACCACGCCTACAGGAAGTAACAACAACTTACCACGCCCACAGGAAGTAACAACAGCTGACCACGCCCACAGGAAGTAACAACAGCTGACCACGCCTACAGAAAGTAACAACATCTGACCATGCCTACAGGAAGTAACAACAGCTGACCACGCCCACAGGAAGTGACAACACCTGACCACGCCTACAGGAAGTAACAACAGCTGACCATGCCTACAGGAAGTACAACAGCTGACCAGCCTACAGAAGTAACAACAGCTGACCACGCCTACAGGAAGTAACAACAGCTGACCACGCCTACAGGAAGTAACAACAGCTGACCACGCCTACAGGAAGTAACAACATCTGACCACGCCTACAGGAAGTAACAACAGCTGACCACGCCCACAGGAAGTAACAACAGCTGACCACGCCTACAGGAAGTAACAACAGCTGACCACCTACAGAAGTCACAACACCTGACCACGCCTACAGGAAGTAACAACATCTGACCACGCCTACAGGAAGTAACAACAGCTGACCACGCCCACAGGAAGTACAACAACCACGCTACAGGACCAACACCACCACCTACAGGAAGAAACAACACCTACAACAGCTGACCACGCCTACAGGAAGTAACAACAGCTGATATACAACACGTCACCACCAACACTGGGGACAGTTCTGCAGCTGAAACACGTCAACAAGGTAAATACACTTTACTGTATTGTTTTTTTGTTTTTTTTAAAGAACCCAAGAAGTTATTTTCATGTCAATGCTAAATTACAAGATGCCTCTGATCACGGTCAGTATTGTAAACATAGTCACAGACAGGACTGAGGTTTTTATTTTTTTAAATTTATTTATTAGTGTACATGAGCAAATTAAATTTCATGATCTTAACCTAAACTATTTTCAAGCTGCAAAACAAACAGAGTGGGACATGTTTGAAGAGCTAAGGACAAACAGACATAAACCGTGCATAAACTTTTTGCTTTTTGTTTTCCACAGCACGGCACTGAACCTACGATCTTGCATTTAGTCCCTTCTTACATGTGGTTTTTTTTCTGCTCAAATATACAGAAAAAAATAATAAAAAAATCAAACATGCATTCTTACTGTGGACAGGTACTCGTCTCCACAGATTTGACCTGTAACTTGACCTGATAGTCTTCATGGAGATAAATAAGTTCACTGTTATATTGTGGAACATTTCAGACGAGGCAATAACATTACCATGGAAACAAGCAGGTAATGGACGCTCCACGAGTAAAGTTACATACTTCACCTTTAATG